TCGCTGTTTAGAGCTCCGCCAACGATGTAGTCGTGTACTGGACTCGAATGTCGGGTAAAATGCCCGGGTAAATCCATCCTCCCAAAGGTCAACGTGTTGCGAGACCATCATGGACTATGCGGCCCCCGATAGAACTGAATTCGCCGGTCACTGGATAAGCCACGCACGTCGTTCACTGAGGTGTTCCATAATATTATTGCTCCGTAATATTAAAGTCAATCCCAATAGCTCATTCAATCGTACAAATCCGAGGATTTATACGCTATATATCCCGCTACATTGTTCCAGAAACGTAATGCGATGTTACTCGTATCTATCAAGAACCCAAATCCTTACCGTGTTGAATAATCTGACGGCGCCCATTGCGCCAATCCCTGTCTATGTGAACGCCACGAGGGAACCTTCTATGCATCTATGATGACCATCCCAAGCATACCCCCTTTTGTGCATCATCTACCTGACAAAAAAACCTTGTAGGCGCAATTAACTGGGTATGAAGTGCACCTGGTTTCACCTGTAAAACCAATCAATAGCATGTAACCGGTCTAGTCTATTCTTCATCGTCCGTGTCGGGAGGGTGAGGTGTACCCTTAGGAGTACTGAGCCATTCAATATGACGCAGTCTTCGTCGTACCTCTTGCTCTTTAAGCTCCTTCTTGGTCTTCTTCTTCTTTTTCTTCGCCTTGAATTTCAAGGGTGTGTTGTCTTCAACCCCACTATTGACAGTGCTGTTGACAGCGCTGTTCACAACACTGCTGGCTGCAGTACTGGCGATGCCGCTGTTGAGTCCGCTGCCGGGCCGGCTATCTTCGAAGCGATCGGCCGAGATAGCGGTGCTGCCCTTCATCGTCATTCGGCCGTCGTTGATATGCCACTGTTCACTGGCGAGAGCGCCAACAAATTCTTCGTTGTGGGATATCATAACTACGCCACCTTTGAAATCTCTGATGGCCACAGCAAGACCACCAAGAGAATCGCGGTCTAAGAAGTTAGTAGGCTCGTCCAGAACGAGTAAATGTGGGTTGTTCCACATGGCACCGGCAATCACAACCTTGACCTTTTGGCCTCCTGACAAGCTGCCGATCTCGTTGTGGTTTGCAATCTCTGGGTCAAGACCAAGGTCCTCAAAATGTTTCGAAATGACTGTGGGCTGAAGTTCACGGTACCCCAAACCTTCTCGTGAAGCCTCGTGATCATCAAACTCTTGCACCAGTTTGTCGAAACCCCACTCTAGCAATGTCTCTCTCGAGACTTGCGAGTTATATTTAGGAAGCCAGCCTCTCCATTTCCTATGGTCAATATTAGTCTCTGTACGCTGCGCATATCCGAAGATTCCGCACTTACACTTCGTATTGGAAAGTCTTTTTCCACTTTTGTCGACCTACAAGAACCTCAATTTGTTTCTCGCCCTTGCCGTCGCCGAGATCGATCTTTTTATCCATTTGCTCTCTATCCTTGTCCGATAGAATGCGAGTCTGTTTTAGGAAAACCTCCCGATCATCACCATTAGCGTACCGCCACTGTAGGTACTGATTAGGTGTTTTCTCAAGATGCATCTCTACGTGTTCTAGGGCATGTTGCTTGATGTATCCAATACGCAAATTAGGATGCTTCTCAACCCGGCCGGTAGTGGGAATAACTTCGCCAGTCAGCATCTTGATTAGAGTCGATTTGCCCGCACCGTTGGGGCCAATGACAGCAACCCTCGAAGATAGGCTTAGCTGGCAACTGACGTCGCTGAGGGACGGCTTTGGCGCTTTTGGGTATTGATAGGAGACGCCCGTCATGCGGATAATAGCTCGAGTCTGGGATTTGACGCCCGATAGGATACCGGGAGGTGGGAATTTGAATTGAACATTGGAAGCCGAAAGAGTGTAGTAAGCCTTAGCCTCCGGGCGAACCCTGACGAACGCAGCTAGGTTTCCCCTGAAGTGGCCGAGCTTTTTGCCCGGCTCGTAATGGTAGATATCAGTCGTAACATTGTCCAAAAAGCCCGAGTCGTGGGAAACGATCAAACTAGTGATATCTGTATGAGTCTTCAGATAATTTTCCAACCATGCAATGTTGGCGACATCCAGATGATTGGTAGGTTCGTCCAATAGTAAAACGTCAGCTTTCTGAAGCATAGCCCTAGCAAGAGCCAACTTCATCTTCCAACCCCCAGACAATGACCCAACCTTTTGTGATTGACGGCCTTCTGGTCCGGCCGTGAAGCCGAACTCTTCCAAGACTTCTGAAATCTTTTGACGGCCCTCTGAGGCAATTGTCGGGTCCTTGACCATGAATTCAAGAATACTAATGTCGGCATCCTCTCCCTGATTGTGCTCTACGTAGCAGGTTCGAAGGACATCCTGGGGAGGGAAGCCCTCCAGCTTACCTCCAGCGATACTCTTCATGAGCGTCGACTTGCCAGCTCCGTTTCGGCCACAAAGGCCATATCGGTGTCCTTTGAGAAGACGTAGGTTGGTATGAGACAGCAAGAGCATACCACCATACGCAAGAGAGAAATCAGCATTGACGATCTCCGTCTCACCGTCATCCTCCTTCTCCGGGATGCCGAATTTACGTTCATCCTCTGCGACGTAGTAGTGGTGAATAGCGGACGCGACAGCGTCACTAGCGCTTGGCTGGTGCATCAGATCCTTTAGGTATGGACCAACCCTACCAGGAATTCTGCCCACTTGGCGGTAATTAGAATCATCGGCAACCATCTCGCAGATGTATGGACGGGCTAGTTTGTAGAAATCTAGGTCACCAGACAGCCCTCCGTTCTTCTTAATCTCAGAGTCAAGGATCCTAGCGACATCATCGGTAGAAGTGCGTTCCACCACACCTGCTTCATTGTTCATGGCCTTGTCCATGACAGCCAATGCCCTTGTGGCCAGCTCACGAACTTCAGGCTGAGGAGCTCGATCCGCTACGGCTTTCACACCCGGTTGAAGCTTCGGAAGGAATGTCCTTGCCTCAATGGGGTCGTGTACTAGTTTAGTCAGATTTTCAGTGATGACGGTAGACTGGCGCAGTACTTCTTGAGTGGTACTAGGGTTATTTAGAGTCCGTTCAAGAAAAGGAGTCAAGAGCGCAAGGACTGGCGACGTGACGACAGCGACGAATGTGGTTTGAGAGAGGGCATGGATTGCCTTCTGTAGAGTTTGGGTCGAGGGGTGATGCAGGGTCTCGATTAGCAAGGGAATCCGGGGCGCTACATCATCGTTGGACAATAGCGTTGTGATAGATTGCATAGTCAGAAGTGCTTGTTTTTCGACATCGGCTTTAAGATCGTGCATATTGTTCTCGACGATGGGAATCAACGCAGCAAGTTTTGAGCCCATAGACTCCCTGAGGAGATCCTTCTCTTGGGCCTGCTCCTTTGTGCAGCCAAACTCCATTTGGGCCTTGTCAGCCATACGCTGCATTAACTTCAGAGCGCCAACAGCACCCTGCCACTTGCCAGTCTTTTTGGCGAGGTAGGATATGATGGCTGGCAGGAGACCGGCGACCAGGGCTTCGGGGGATAGATGGGCGAACAAAGCATCCAAACCGTACTGGGCAGCATCACGCACAACGGCGCCTTTGTCGGCCAGCGCGTCAAGCGCGCAGCCAACCATCCCGCCGTCATGGAGCAGAAAGACCAGCTCACTGAGGGGCTGTCGGGAGGGGAATTTCTCGAACAAGGCGCCGAGGAGGTTCTGGGCGCTTTCACGGCGGAGGCCGCTCTTCTTATCGGCGGCAGCCTTCTTAACCTCGGCAAGAACGCCGTAGTACTGAAGCCCGCGGAAGCCGACGGTATTCAGCAAGAGTTCACATAGCGCATAGGCGGCATCGATTGAAGCGGCCGAGGATTTGGCAGTGAATATGGTGTTGAGGATAGCGGAGACATCTTCCGTCGAGGGCGGCGGAGGGGCATCGCCATTTGTGGCCACCATTATCGGCGGCGAGATAGAGTGAGGCATCGCTGGTAGATAGATGGTTGGGCGAGGCAGAGGCCGAGGGGGGGGGGGGGAGGGGGCAGTGGCGGTCGGTGGGCGGAAATGAAAGGAAAAGAAAGGATGAGAGACGCGACAGGACGCCTTGAAAGGTCGGAGACAGGCGCAGATGCGCAAGCGTCTCGAGGCGTTGGTATTGGGGAATGAATGACAACCGTCGCCCAACCTGCCTATCGATTCTCTCCTGTGTGAAGGAGAAAAAGTGTGTAGACGGAAAGGCAGTGCAGCGCAGCGCAGCCTGACGGGGACGAGGGAAGACAGAAAACAGCCACAGAAATTCCGCTTATCGGAAAATCTGACCCCTCCAATTTTCTACTTTTCTGCTTATCGAGATTTAGCCATGCAAAGTCCACTAAGTACCTTCATGGTCCACTAAAAGACCCGCTCAAAGACCCGTTCTAGTATAGCACCCGTGCCGAATGCATGGATCCGCATTGGATCTTGGGTTTTGGGTTTTGGGCTCGGGGTTCAGTGAAGCGCTAGCGTTTAAGTACAACTAGGTACTGTACTGCACCTAAAAGTTGAAGCATCATTCAGCCCAAGTTGGTATACTGGTAGGTATTTGGGTTCTGCTGTAAGCCTAACGGTGGAAAATTAACCTGATCTCGGAGTTATTGGAGAATATGTATGTTGGCATGAAAACATATAGGTAAATGGAAATAGAAATATATTTTAGTTAATGACTGTTCATATATTAAAAGTTTAGTTTGAGAGCAAAAAGTGGGCAGTTGCTAGGTGCTTTAATATAGTATTGCTAAATTCAGGTAAACGTTTGTTAGCAGCAACAAGCTTTAAACTAATCGGCTTTAGCTAACCGGACAAAGATAAACCCAAGGAGTTTACATATGTTTAGTTAATAGATTATAAGTAATATTAATTTAATCATAGTGAAGTAGTTTATATAGTGTTAACTAAAGCAACTTAAAGTAACAGCGAACACTAGCGTTAGACTGCTTTAACATATGTGTTCTTATAGGATTAAACAACACTATTTCACAATATATAATGTCTTCTGACCGCTTGGCTAAGTGGTATAGCGTGTCACAGTAACATGGGACTCATCAAGAATCTCGTAAGCTAATGCCATGACAAGATCAGCGGTTTGATTCCGCTAGTGGGCAATCTGTTTGTTCTTGGGTTTTGGTCCTCGGGACAAGAAAGCTGTTGTTTGTTGTAGACACGATCACGGACGGCTACCTTACTTGGTTACCTACCCACCTACTACTAGTAGTAGTATTTTATAACAAGGGCTTGGAAAAGTCTTCAAATTGTAATAATCATCTAGGGCGTCAAGGGGAGCCATGAAGGTCTTGTCCCTTCTCTAGCCAGCTAGAAGATCCAGGGCCTTTATGTCCGAATAGCCTCGCGTATAGTTACCGACCCTCGTGAATAGTTGCCGACCAGAATCGCCGACCCGTCCCGTATCCAGGTCTCGGCTAGGTTATATGTTTGATCAGGCAAACCCTGGTAGAAGCCTCAACGCGGTCTCCCGCTCATATAATTATATACATGATATGCGGACCTCCGGTCTCAGATCGGAACCAGTCTATCGGGTTTGGGTAGCACCTTTTACCTCTGTGGCACCTTTATTTTATCTTTTATTTATGCTTGCATTCTTCTTTTCATTCCCCCCTGCTTCTAATCACATAGCATTAAGGTCATAGAGGGTTTAAGAACAACCTCTTATATTAGGGGAGCATGAGCCACTTTAGGCCTAGGTAGTGGGTTTGCCAAACCTACGCGACTACATAGGTCTAGAGCGCTTTAAGTCAACTAACCATCATATTATTCATCTATCTAGTCAAGCACAAGGTTAGCTACCTGGCCTATTAAGTAGTTAGTTAAATTCATCATTCTTACCATTATATTATTTGACTATAACAAGATATTTCTTTCCTTGTCATAGTAATCTCACCTATCTCCGTGAGGTGGATTGTTTTTACGACCCGGCCAAATCATGGAGAACGTACACGAAACCGTATATATGTAAGGTCTAGCTAGGTAAGAGGTATATATCTAAAGGCTGTCTTCACTAACATAAGTGCTTCAGAGCTCCTTGAGCAACGATAATATTCACTGACCCTTTCTTTAACCTGACCTAGTAATAACGGTCCAACAAGTTAGCTAACAGGCTGGCGAAAATGAAACACGAAAATGATTTTTCATGTTTTATTGTTTCTTATTTCTTGAAGCCTGCTAAGGATTCTGGAGAGCCACGTACATATGAAAAAGAGGTAAGAATTAATGGCTTGGATAATACCTGGCACAACGTCTGAATCTATTAATAGCCAGGGCATACATAGTACAAACTGGCCCCTACACCGTGTTAAACCCCCATAGGTTTTATATTAAGCCAGCACAATTAATTCGACTATAATGTTACAAAATCGTTTACAATTCGTAGTTGATTGTCTACTATACTTATACTTAAGAGAAACAAATAAGGTGTATTTAGTATGTGGTCCCAGTCTAATTAGGTGTAACAAAGGCCTCCGACCAACGGTTTGGAAAAATATCCTTTAATCCCCCTTTAGTCTATGTGGGAGATCCATAGCTTTATACCTAGAATAGCCTCGCTCTTAGTTGCCTGCCTCGCTCTCATATAGCTGTCTCACTTTCGTATAGCTATCTTGGGAGGTTATAGGAGATCAGGAGACGAGGGGGGCTGAAACCCTAAGATGAGTATATTCATGACTTCGTCTTAGACCGTGTGATATTAGTCACTCCGTTTCCAGAGACAAACGTATATAAATTTAGTAGACTTTTTGATATGCCCAGGTTAAGTTTCAATCACAATGTAATGAGCATGTTGGCTTTGTATTGGGGACTTACAGGATGCTGGGGGCTCCGTAGGTCGATATTTTATTGTTACTAGCTGAAGTTGTGTGTGCAATCCGGTTCTAACCCGAGGTACGACGTTCTAATAGCGCGTTACGTGCTATCCCGAAGTTTCCTTTGTGCCAATAAATTATGATTGCTAAACAGAGGGCCGTATTTTCATAACTTCAATTACCTCGTTATTAGATGTACACCACAAGTGAAGCGAAGAATTGAAGGGTCGTGGCTGTGGAGCCATGCTCCCTCGAAGACAAGAAATGCTGTAGGAACCATATTAGTGGCTAGCTTCATCTCGCCTTAAATAGGGCTGACTTGTTCTGCGTAGCACAGTCGAGTTTAGTAAAGCCATTCATTTCCTGACTTCCCCTGGTATTCGCCAACAAGCATTATTTACATCGAACCATTTCTACTACGGGAAGGGGTCATCTAAAGCGCGCGAACAGTGTCTGACGCGGTATGACTTTTCCCCGCAACTTGTCCTCCGTTGTAGGGTCTAATTCCTGACGTATGACCATCATGCTTTTCTGACCGAAGGAAACGCTGGCGTCTATACCACGACAGACGTTAGCCATCTACATACGCCACTGCAGGGCACGAGCCCCTACGTGGTATCTTGGAGGATGGCAATACTGTGGTCGCCATGCAGACGGGTTTAGGCTGGTGGTGGCGCAAGGAGGGGAAAATGGCCATGTAATGGCCAAAGGGCTTCGTGAATGGGCAACGACTCGTTCTAGGACTCCTTATGCTATGTACGTGATCTTCACCGAGATTGAAACTATAGCCCCCAAATCAACACTACCAGTCTCCGGTCTGCATCTACCACCACTGCGTAGCATCGCAGCAACCCGATCAGCTGAAATTAGGGCGACCGACATCCAACGCTCCGCCGGTAGATGATCTATTTCAGGGCCTTGGCGACTTTATCATCTTTATCATCATGACAAGCAGCTGACATATCGGTTTTTCTTTGAACCCACAGGGCTGCATGGGGATAGATGAGCCGTGCGTGGGAATGGGGAAATTACCGGATTAGGAAAACGAGATGTTATCGCTAGTGGGGCTTGCTGCGGACGAAATGACTGACCTCATTCCCTCAGATCTTCACTGGTGTTGGCCTCGATCGCTATTGCTTTGCAATAGATTGTTCTACAGGCTCAGCCACTGTCGGACGACGAAGTATGCAGAAGTCGTCGTAATTCCAGGCACTGCTGCTGTCGTAATGATGTTCATGTTATCTTCGTTAATCCTTGAGCGAGCGGGCTAGAACGAACGCCAAGCGGCATGCCCAAGATGGTAGGTATGCACTACTTTATCGTTCTTGCATGAAAAGGACCAGCTGTGGGGGACTTGAGACAGCCTGGACCTCTGGTGATCCCTCTACATTTAGTACACTAAGTTTGCGGTGTGAAGGCGATGACAGGCTCGGTGGCGGTGCACCCTTAGTGCCTTGTGACTTTGTGACGAGGTAAGTAAATAGTTCGCAAGGAATCCGTTCCTTTTAGGTAACGGTTAAACCACTTTCCTGAGAACGAATGATGTGGCTTTATTACGTGGTATTTCACTGTACTGGTGCCAGCACCCCAATATATCATCTAGTCGGACCGGATGGCTCCAGATACGTCCCCGAAGCTACTGTGGGCTCCCCCGGAAATTCACCAGGTTGACTCGGGACTTCGACGTTTCAAGGGTCGGGATGCGGTTAGCGCCTGGAGAATATAATCTAGGAGGCCAGGTCCGGCGGGCGTGTAACCGCCAATTTGTCATCGGCAAGTTCCAGGGAAGAAAAACCAGCCAGGTTTTCGAGCAAGGTAAGCCAGGGTAGTAACTACAGCCGGAGTTACGGGGTCAGGGTCGTCCAGCGTTCCCACCACCGGCGGCAAACCCCGATCAAGATTTCATCCGTTTTTAACTACGCGTACTGCCAGAGTCGCACTTCAAGAGGACGCGCATATCGAAATCATGTCCTTTCCAAGGATACTTGGGCTCAATTTAATTTAAAAGCGTTATAGTCGAGCATGGCCACGCGGGTGACGTGCAAGCACTGGGACTAAAGTCGATCACTCATTCGATTCTAGGTTGTCGTCTTGTCTAGCTGTTACCCCTTTGCCACGGATTCGCAATGGTTATCCCACAGACTACGAGCTTTCAATTCATTACCTCTATCAATACCGTCGCCCATGATGAGGAGACGCGCCGCAAGGTACGCTCCCATGCGAGGCGACAGAAGCTCTCGAATGAGAACAGCCCCCCTTCCCAGTCCAGAAAATCGACCACGCAAAAAGAGCGTATCTCGAAGTTTAGACTGAAGCCATCCGCCCAGCCAAATGAGACTCGCTCCGAAGACAACGGCAGCAATCGCAGTGGCGGCAATAACATTAACAGAAAGCCTCCGTCCATACTCAAGTGCCACGGCCCTATGCCCGGGGGCTGTATCGGGGAGCGGGGCACGGACACCAATTTCGCGCCGACAATGATCTCGCGAGAACTTGCTTTAGTAGTAGCGCGGGAGCTTCCAACCTTCCCTATGCTACGTATCGAGACAACACCGTTGACAGAAACCTTGCTCAAGTATTGTTTCACAGTATGCTTATGTCCTCGAGAAGCTGTGGTAGAGAAATGGTTCGACCGTGCAGGAGCGCCAACATACATGATGACATGTAGGTTGGTTGTACATTTCATAACCCTGCTCTCAATTCGATGATTCGACATCACCCTCATAGTTCTGTCTTAGCCCATAGCTAACGTATGTAGACTACTCCGGCTTCCTCGCCAACGCTTTTGCCATGAATCCAGAAGGAAACTTCTTCGATGCAGTGAGTGTGCCTAACCCTTGCCACTGTACTTATAGCCCACTAATACAAATCCTATTATAGCTACATGTTGATACGGCCATCACCCATGCCTTTATGGCTTTGGTTGCGTGTATGCAGTATGTATAGTATCTCAAGTTTCGCGTGTATTGCTTCGGATCTCCATATCAGGAAACCATACAACGCGAAGTGGTTGAGGAGTGGCAACTACTATGCGCATATTATAGAAAGTTTGCTAACCAACCGTTCTGTATACAGCAATGCGTTGGCTCAGTGGGACGACACGAGCACATTCGACTTTCACCGCCTTCAAGCCATCAAGGCCATAAATGAACGATTGAATATAGAGGGCAAGAGCCCGGGCGTGCCTATCTCAGACGGCATCACGATGGCGGTTGCATTGCTGGTCAATAACGAGGTGTGCAAAAATACAATCGCCAGCAGATACTCATGCAATGCTAACCAGGGCGTAT